TTTCAGTAAAATTGATGCTAGGATTATTGATCCCTGAACTGGCGATTCTTCATGGCGATAATGAGTAAAGACTCATTATTCTAATGAATTCAAACATCTTACAGGGATAAATATAACGATTAACGATACGTTTTGAACACCTAACATGGACAGAATTGAAATCAGCATAGAAAATCCTTATAATTTGTTCACTTTACAGTGAACCTGTGTCATTCGACATTAATACTATTTTAATCTCTTAAATAATGGGCAAGTTTTTCAGTCAAGTTTCCGTGACAGTGTTGTGAGTGCTTTCAGCCTGGCGTCGGGCAATTGGATAACCTACCGCTGGTACGTATTTTACAATTTTTCTCTCTCTTTTGATAAGATCTAAATATTTAGTGATGTTTTTAATGATACCATTACGAAAACACGTAAATAATATATTTTCTCCAAGGAACAATATCACACCGAACCCAGTGGGACAGTTGCGCTAGTCATAGAATTGAATTCTGATGCTTGACTCGTAGATTAGCTGGAAGCAATAAGATCCGTCCATAAAGCAACTTTCACGTTGAATATTAACCGAGGAGTCACCCTTTAAAAAATACGGTCTATGACGTCATCAATCGCGGTGATGATACCCTTGGGTTTCTTCCGCCTTGCTTTCATCCGAGTCACACGTTGAATATAACCAAAGCAAATATGTGTTTCCCTATATTATGAAAGCGAAGTGGAAAAAACCAAGGGTGTCACTACCGCGGTGAATGACGTCATAAACCGAATTTTTCAAAGCGCGATATCTATGTTAATATTTAACGCTGAAAGTTGTTGTTTGGGCAGATCTTGCTATGTTTAGCTGATCGACAAGTTAAAGCATCAAAATATGATTTCGAGACCAGCGCATCTCATGACCCGTCATGAGGCCCGGGCCTTTAAATTGGTAGGGCCCGAGATGAGATGTGGCGGGCCTGCGGAAAATACGCGATTTGGATATAGCGGAAGTATGATATTCATAAACGTAAGTAATTTGAGATAGGCATTAAACTTTTCCTGCAATTTCGTGTGATACCACATACCTACTCCGAACACTTAGGGTGGGGTTGGGGGGGGGGGGG